TTTTTTTTTTTTTTTTGATAAATTAAAATGATTGTTCTATTCAGTAGAAATATATTATATTTATATAATACACATATATCTTTGCATAATAGTACAAAAATTTAGATAATGAGCAAGTTACGTTAAATTCTAAGTTGTAGAATAAGTTACGCTAATATTTCGGCAAGATGGTATAACATACTCTCAAGTTATACCTGAAAGGTAACAGCAAGTAAAAAAAATCGTGATCAGTTTTTTTATCGAATCATTTACCTACTATACTCAAATATATATTAACTCACTGGTTGTAACAAATATTGCTCTTGGGATTTCGTTAAACAATTATTTAAAATAAGTTAAATATCTATCAGCTAAAACGAATCCCTGTATACATTTACAATACATATACCAAAAGCATACAAAATTCATGTATGTTAAATTTTACTTGTTCATTAACTGAATTTAGTAATTATACAGAAAAAAGAAAATTACCACTATAGGGACAGATCGTCTATTATACGTATGGCAAAAATTTGTTCAGAATGATTGTCCTTGTCAATATATTCAGTCACAAGTTACTAAAATTGGACGTGGCTGCCTGTATAATCCCGAAATTATTTTACAATTTTAAGCTTCATTATTATGTATAATTTCTAATTGCGATATGTGCATTAAATAAAGTTAAATGAAGTTTATATTTCTACTAACTGTAATAAGTATTCAAATATATAGTAGAGCTTTTTATATCGGATAATCTTTGTATAATGAAGCAATCACTTTTTTACATTAAATTATATGTATCCAAATAAAGATTTAAAATTATATATATCGAAAGAAGAAAATCATCATTTTATTTCGATATACAGAAATCTGTACGTATTTTTTGGCTGTTGAATTATATAATATTTGTAGCATAAGTAATTTTACAGCTCATTTACATGTTCTATCGGTACTTCTCAAGTAAAATCTTGTGTTTCATATTTTAATAATTATGAATTATGCAATTATGAAAAATCTTTATTTTTAGTACAAGAAAAAGCATTTGTTATTAATAAATATGTTATTCGGATAATAAAATGTTCGAACAATAAAACATTCTAATATCAAAAGTATTCCAATAATGGAGACTCGAATATGAAAGGCACTACTGTATTTATAAAAAAATTACTTCAGTAACACTGTTATAAAGAAATACATAGATCTTTCAAACACTGTAATTTACGAATACTAATGAGTCATTGTAGTTATTATAGCGTAAGATCGTATGAAAACAATTCCTCTAATATAAATGTATTTTGTACATTTAATATAATACAGAATACGAATAACTTTTACAATCTAAATTTTATTATGCCCATCTTATCAAACGCTGAGTAGAACTGTTACAATTCAGATTCTATTAATATTCGAAGCTTTCCACCAGACGAATTCTCTGGTTCATATTGCAATAACAATATTGCTTCTGACAAAAGGCGTTTTCTGTCTTCTCCTGAACAAGTAGACAATTCCCTCAACGCAACTGCAGTGTATAACGCCAATCTCGTGCCATAAGGATCTAACGTTTTAGTGGTTTCTATAATACGTTTACATAATTCCGCTTTTTTCGGATTGTCAGCAGGTAACAATTGAATCAATGAATGGCTGACAGTTATGCATTGTTGATGTCCAGGATGCAACAGCGCAGTTAGCCTAAAATTACGTAATCATATTTAAATTATTCGTTCAATGCAATATTTGAATGATTTTGTCCAATATGACAAATTAAAATTATTTTACCGAGATAGAAGATTGATCAATTTATCCTTGTTGGGCTGATACATAACTTCATCGACATCCTCTTCCAATTTATCAATGAACTGCATCACTTCCGACGCAGTCAAAATTCCAGGACATAAATTACATCCCCATTGTGAATCATTGTTTAGAGGATCTTCAGGTAAAACAAACCCATTATCGTGGGGACATTTTAAGGTACCAAAATGTGTACCCAATTCTGTTGGATCAGCACATCGCTTACAATGGCAAGAAAAATACTTTGTCTCTAAAAGATGAGCTCTTCGTGCCTTCGTTGTCCAAAGTGCATGTGTATACATTGTGCTCAAATGGTCTCCTCTGTACATATGTAAATGTGATATGTATATAAATGTACACGCATATATAAATAAAAATAAAACACAGAGTGTATAATCAAATTTCAAAAGAATATTCTAATAATAATACTTATTTACTTATTTAATTCTAATAATAATACTTATTTTATATCATACATGATGTGAATTTTATGAGCATCATCACGCACAATTATGACATATAATTCATCTAGTTATTGAAAATATTATGTATTTATGGAAGAACATTGAAATAAATGAAAAAAATTTTAATTATTACAATAATTATATAATAATATGAATGTGCTTTACTACATATATACATATAAAAAGTAATAATTTTAATCATTTTCTTCTATCTGGGTCTATTATTCAAAAAGAAAATTGTCTTCTATTCTGAGATTAAAAGTAGAACAAGCTTCTATATAGTACTTAATATTAGTAAATATATTGAAAACGGAAGAAATAAATCTTTTAAGCAAATATTAATATATTTAGTGTAATATAAAAGAAAAAAAAATTTTAGAAAATAGATTAAGAAATTAATTTTTTTGATGTAAAATATTTTATATTTACAAATCTTTAATTCTTTAAATCTTTGATTCGAAATGAATCTCTTTAAAAAAAACTTCTGAAGACCATTTCTTTGTAAATTCATATTTATAAACACTTTCGTCTAGTCACTAACAATAATGGACCTATGAAAATAGATATTTGAAAATATAAAAGAAGATTGTAGCAAAATAAAAGAAAACTACATCAAGTACTTTTTGCAAATTTCAAAACAAACTTTTTCTGTTCTGCAGTGAAGAATTGTCGATAATTTAAACTGACTTTGTAAACGATGATCACGTAACGATCATCTCCTAAACAATTCTCCTTGAATCGCGGAACATCCTGTATGTTAATTAAATTTTGCTTTATTTCCTTTTATGAATATCTAAAATAAACTCCAAAGTCTTGAACCTTTTGTATTTTTAGTTTATAATAAATACAACAGAATCTGCATATTTGGCACAAAAATATTGAATAATTTTTGTAGTATAAAATGTAGCTGTACAAAATCTACTAAAATATATAAAAAGAAAAATTGCAAGAGAAATTTATAATGCAAAATGTACACATTTACATACTTTCTTATTGAACAAACAGCTTTCACTATGATTCGAGGTCTACCCTTATCATCGATTTTAAAATTGTGTCTTGTATTAGCTAAACAAGAATGCTCCAAAAGGCATGCTGTTTCATAGATCGCAATGCAACCCTCGGGTGGTAAAGTTTCCAGCGCGTTCACGTCTATTAAACCGCAAATTTTGTGGACGATATCTTTGCTGGAAAGATCGTCTGGTAAAAAACGTTTAACATGTCGATATATATTTATTGTTTCTTCATATGCGCTTGTTCCTTGGCCACGAGAATCTTGATGACTTTGTAACTTTTCTATAGAACGCCAATATTTTGATTTTATGCGCCATAATATTAACATACGTATTACTAAGAGAACATCGCACCTGGAAAAATGAATAACACTAATTACAAACATATTAAATCATATATAAATATACAGGATTGTATTTTAGTATTAAAACTTTATCAAAGTATGATATGCAACTAGAAATGCAAAAAGACAATAAAATATTATAATTCATTAAAATATTATGACAAAAATACGTAATGTAAAACTGTGTACGTTCATGTGTATACATTTCGAAATGTTCCTTTATCATCCCCTTTTATCAATGCAAATTGAATGTTATTGAATTTAAAGCGAATTTCATGTCGACTTTATCGAATTTTTTCTCACGTATTTTTGATTCTTGTCTTTTTTAAATTATAATATAATTTTTATTAATTATCAGAGAACTTTTCAAATTAATTTTTATAAACAAGTAGATTTTAATTTTTTCATCTATATTTTTCATGTATATAAAATACTTTTGTTTTGATAATAGAAATTTCTGAAAACTTATTAATTTTTTGTAACAAAATACGGAGAAATTTTACGCACTAATTATTATAATAAAAAATTTATTTATATTGTAATAAAAAATATTAATTAATTCTAATTTAGTGATACAACCAAAAAGAGATAATTGTACATGAAAAAATAAGTGTTTTCATTTAGATCTTTCCATTTAAACTTTCGTTTTGAAAATTTATCAAGTATGTATACTTGAATTTGATTAATCGACTATTAATCGTTAATAATTGAGTTAAGTTATATATAAATAGAATAAAATTTTTCCTTTAATACTTTCTCATTTTCAAAATTTTATTAGAATTTAATTTTCTTAAAAACAAAACTTATAAAAAAGTTGTATTCTACATTTTCGACTTATTTTCGTAAATAGAATAATCTTCTATTCATTATTCATTCTTGACTTGCTCAGAATTTTGATTTAATTTAATAATATTTTAATTTAATTTAATTTAAATTTAAACTAAAATACATTTGATAAATTTGTAAACTTAATTTTTTCGAAATCTTAAATGAAAAAGTGTTATTCTTTCTTCCCAATTTATTTTCTCATGTAGAATCACTTTTTTCTTACTTATACCACTGGATTGAAACCTTGTATATATATCGAATAAATTAAAAATTCGTGGATTTTTTATATCTAATCATCTGTTCAAATCATTTAATTCAAATCATTTATTCAAATTTATTCTTTACTTTAATTAATTAAAATATTATAAAATTGTTATAAAATTAATTTTATATAATGTACTGTAATTTTCAAATACCACTTCTAAACATAAACAATAGATCTGTTATTTTATTATATTAATGAAATATTATTTTTCAATCAAAGTAGTTATATTCAACAAAGTGCATTTTCATGGTTACCTATTTTTCGAAGTTAATTACAACAAATGATTACAAACAAAAAACATAAGGAACTATTGTAATATTAATTGAAATAAAGAATTTGACTAACTTTATTTGTTAACAATATGGCAATATTTTTCGTTCTATTTCAGTTTTCTGCAATATTCATATTACGAAAAAATGTAACTAAATTTTATTTCCTTCATTAGTCCACTAAATTATTAAAATACTGACACATTTTTTTTCGATAAAATTATTTAACTGCAATCGTCTCTTTGTCTTATATACAATGTTACAAACCTAGGAATGATCCTTGCTTTTATAAGGGAAGAACATTCTAAGCCGTGTCTATGTTTATCAGTAAGACCAGGACAATCTGTACCACATGCCGGCCAAAGACATTTTGTGCATCTTGTACTACTATTCTTACATTGTTTTCCGCAGCCAACACAAACTCTTTGATCTGAATGTAATGCCGGGCCCCAAATCAAAGGTGATTCTGATAAAATTACGTCATCCGGACTTAAATCTCTTGATGCCACGAGGTACCGTCCGAGTTCGGAGCTTTCACGAATCTCCCATGGTTGACAAATTGACCTATGTCTAGGCCAGTCTTGTCGCTGATGCTCCTTTTTACAATAAAATTGTTGCTTGCAACCGTTACATTTCAGCGTTGCACACTGATTACAGATGGGGCAGATGCCTTCCGTCTGATACTCCATGACCTCTTAATTATTGAACATTTAAAATTAAATTTCTGTGCTCTCTATATACACTTTTTACACATGAAAAATACATTACTACTTGAAA